GACTTGTGCAGATTATTTAAACTCTTGAAGTCTCCGTATGTGGAAAATTTAGATAATAATCTGCTGTGAAAAGATGCAGAAAATTAAATAATTCACTTCTGTCAAACACATAGCTATAAATATGTATCAGTTGCTTTCTTAAATCAGAATTTGTATGTTTCTTGTCATAATTGCTGTTTGTCTTACAAAGTTAAGTGATAGATCTAAAAGCTGTGTATTTCCATTATGTAGCCAGAATTTTCCTACAGAAATTCTTGATTTCTGGTTATAAAAATGATAAACAGTAGATCGTATAATCAACAATCTTACATGTGCCAAAATTTAACCAGTAGTCCTGATATTTGGGAAAGGTGGTCTGTAATCTTACATTGCCATAGTTTTTTTTCTTGGCATTTCCTGATTCTTTGTGTATGTTTATTTTCCATGAAGTATATCTTGCTTACTAAAAATTGGCAGAACTCAGGTTTTATGATACGTAGATGATATCATGACTGATAGTGATAGACAGATTTGGAAGTGTCAGAGAAACCAGAAATCAAACACTGGGGCAAGCTGGAGTTAGTGAAGGACTTCAAGGGTTGTGTTGCTTGAGGATACTCTTCTCCCTTTTAAGTAAACTCTTGGCCTTTGAGATACTGAGTTGAAAAAAAAAATCTGCAGATATTCTTGGTTGAGATGGGCAGGGAATGTGAATAGAGAAGAGTTATCAAAAGGTGATGAAAAATATGTGGAGTTGAATATCATCATCTCAAGTGTGATCCCTGGTAAACTGAACTAAAGATAGGTTGAAAGAGAGAGAGAAATGAGAAGAAAAACATAGACTTTGCTATTTTATTCAGCGTCAAGGGAACATAAGTTCTGAATGCTGCAAATGGTATTTTTCATAAGGACCAGAGTGTAGTATTCATAGGTGTGATATTTACATATATATGTGGACCATAAACGTACTGAATCTTTTATGTGAAACATTTTGTGAACCGTGTCTTTTCCACTTAGGGGAAAGTGGTAGTCAAAGTCCTGGAGTATCTGGCTTTCCCTGAAGCTGACTTAAGCTGCTAGTAATGGAACAGCGCTTGCCAGGTCCCTGAAACAGGGGATTTGGAGCTTTTGGGTTCTCCAGGAGTTTTTGTTATGAATGTCTGAATTTTCAGTCAGGGGGCAATCAGTCCTTGTAGAAGGAGGCATTCCAGTATAGGACTCACATTAATTCTTCTCTACTCCCTGGGAGATGAATAGGACCCCTCTCCACCCAAGGCTTCCCTGGTGGCTCAGCTGGTAAAGAATCCGCCTGCAATGTGGGAGACCTGGGTTCAATCCCTGGGTTGGGAAGATCCCCTGGAGAAGGGAACGGCTACCCACTCCAGTATTCTGGCCTGGAGAATTCCATGGACTATTCCATTGGGTCACAAAGAGTTGGACACAACTGAGTGACTCACTTCACTGCCGCCTCTCCCCCCTCCCCCCCCGAAGAGGTTGCATTTCTAATAGTAGTCTTTCCCCACTTTTCTAGCACCATGTATTCCTCTGTTACTGGGTCGCTATAGCACTGAGCGTACGATCTGTTAAGAGGCTTATTTTGCTTTTACTGTATTTTGAGTAATCTTGAGGTCTAAACTGGTAAGATAAAGAATGCCATAGCTAGTACATGTTTTCTTGGTAATCATTCATTGGTATAGGTTATAATCACTACTTTGAGTTTTCCAGGCTTCTGCTGTTTATTCCTAGTCTCTGCCTCTGATCTTTATAGTCTTTTTATTATCATCAGTTTGCCCTGTGTATATCCTTGAAATCAAAGGCAAGCTGTCTTGCTAAGCTCTCAGTTTGTCTTCTGAGGGCACCTGTCTTCCACTGTGCTCTGACTTTCTCTCCTGCTTCCCCTTGTGAGCTGTGTAGTTGGCAGTTTAGGTAGGTTAGACGCATGAGCAGCTGAGCCTCAGTTAGTTCCTGGCCTATCCTGGTCTTCAGCTGTCTTACCACACCTCTGCCTTTTAAGCTTGCACACTCGGATCACACATGTCTGTCCTGTATACCCCTGCAGCCCTGGAACATTTGCTGAACTAGTCTGCAGTGCATTTTGGTGTAGAGGTGATCTTGCATGGCTTAGAGGAGTCACAGGGAGAAGAATGGACAGAAGGCAGACCTGAAGGATCTCACTGCCTGACCGTGTTCTGATCCCTCTTGTGCAGAAGGGGAAAGTGAGAGGACATTCAGCAAACCGATGTGAAATTGAATGTCACTCCCAAACGTTAAAGGAAAAGCCTCAGCATTGGGGAGAGTTTGGACTTCTTTGGATTCAACCAGAATGCTGGTGTAGTAGATTTTCATTTTAGTAAGTTGTATTTGATCCCACTGTAGAAAATAGACTAGAGAGGGACCACAAAGCCAGGGCAACTGGCTTTTCAGGAAAAAAGTAAGGAGGGATGAGGAAGGCTTAAATTGTAGTACTGGAGTTATAGATGAAGAGGAGGAGTGGATGCGAAATATTGTGGATGCGAAGTATTTAGGATGCAGAACCTAAGGTTTTAGGACTGACTTAACATGAGAAAGAAAGAGAGAGCAATTCGACCCAAGTTTCTGATTTTGATGACTGGGTGAAGAATGACACAAAGAGTTGTGAGAAGTAATAGCAGGAGAGATGTCACTTCTGGACATAGCTTTATTTGTAACCAAGTAAAGGTATTTCTGCCAGGATTAAGCTCATGCAGTTCAGCAAGTAGATAAGTTTCCTAATGATCCTATTTGATGTATGGACAGAATGCAGAACACCTGGAGGACTAGATGAAGGCATGTCCTGTCCTTTCTTGTGACTCCTCAGGCAGACGTTTGATCGGAGTTGGCACGCGCAGAGGCTCAATGCTGGACCATCGTTCTGGACTGTGCTCTCCCTCGTCCAGTTCTGAGATGTGCATCTTGAGTCCTCCCTTCAAGTCAACTGTCCTCCTAGGGTTAGGGCATCTGTGGCTCCTTACATCTCCTAGTAGGGAAATTCTGTGTCATTGAAGTAATTCTTTTAGGTACTAGAACTAAGTTAATAGCATTTCTGATCCAGTTCTCTTCCTTTCTGGGATGCCTTTGTTCATCACATGCTTTGTTCCTGGAGATACTCCTGCTTCTCAAGTTGAGGAAAAAGTTAGCTCTTTAGAGGACCAAAAAAAAAGCCTTATTATTTTACATTTAAAGAGTGTAGTCCCTGAGTCTGATAGACCTGTGTTCAAATCCTGTGTCACTTACTAGCTGTATTGTCTTGGGCCTGTACTCTTAAGTAATTCATCTCTAGATGTGATAGTAGTGTACTTATCTTAGAGCTGATGAGTTTATATTAGATAGTGCTCATGAAGCATTTGAGCTTCTGTGGTGGCTCAAATGGTAAAGAATCCACCTGCAATGCAAGGCACCCAGGTTCCATCCCTGCGTTGAGAAGATACCCTGAGGAGGGCATGGCAACCCACTCCAATATTCTTGCCTGGAGAATCCAGTGGACAGAGGAGCCTGGCGGGGCTACAGTCCATGGGGTTGCAAAGAGTTGGACGTGACTAAGCAACTAATATTTCCACTTCTATGAAGCATTTAGGGTGGTGTGTGTATTTATGTGTGTCTGACTGTGCGACTTCTTGGTCTGTAGCCCACCAGGCTCCTCTCTCCATGGGATTTCCCAGGCAAGAATACTGGAGTGGGTTGTCTTTTTGGCCCATAATAAATACTACATAAATACTATCTTTCATTTGTTATTCTTTAATTTTTTAACTGTAGATAGGTAAAATTTATTTTTAAAAACTTTTGACATTTATATAGCCTGAAGTTAGTAACCACCATTATGTTTTCATGTGCTTGCAAGAATTTAGAAGTATAGTATTCCTAGTGCCATAGAATTTAAGTAGCCACTTTTTTTTTTTTAAATGAATCAGAAATCTCAGCATGTTTAATAATTTGTTTTTGTGTGTGATTTTAAAAAAAGCATTCTGGGGCAAAATAGTTTTGAATAAACAAATCAGCCAAAATAACTTTATTTTGGCTAAACCTGGTCTATTATTAATATTAGAGATGAAGGAAAGAATGAAGATGTTCATCTCATACAGGAATGAGGAAAAATACAAGAATATTTTGAGGATTGTTATATTCTAGATATATTTGTAGATATTGTTTTGATACTGAAACCAGGGTAATAAATTAGGCTTCATATTTTCTAATTGTGTCTCCATGTCTGTTCTCCAAATCACATTAATCCTTGTGCAGTTGAATATGAACTTGCAGAAGGGCATGGGATATGAGGTTTTATTTCTAATTCAGTTTTTTTCCCATTTTGAGGTGACTAGTGGAATTGACCAAGAAGCTGATGTTTCAGTGTTCTCTGGCAGCCTTCTTATCCCTTGGTTTTCTAAACTGAAGCATGACAGTCTATCCCAGTTTCGTATTTCTAGTTTCCTAAAGATCTGTCTGAGCACTAGTCCTCACCTGTCTTTAAAGTCTCAGAGTGTGAAGGCCACATGTTTAGCCTGTATCTTCATCTCCTGAGGTTAAAGTTGCCAGGAGTAGTTGATGTCATTAACCGAACGTGGACGTATCCACAGACAGTTTTACAGACCTGTATGACATCATACAGATGAAGTAATTTGTTGGAATAGAAGCTTCTTCCTCTATAATTCTCACGGTCAAAGACAGCTTCAGTTTGTGCTGAGCGAGGAATTGGAAGACGCTGGTGGCCGTCCAGACTAGAGTTGCGGGAGATGGAGATGCTTTCCCTACTTCCCCAGTAAGAGTATTTGTCCTCTTTGTGCAGAGGACCGTTGTGTGGATCGGGTGAGGTGAAGTAGGTGAAAGTACTTTGGATACACAAGCATGACCCAGATATAAAATGGTGGTATATTTCCAATTCAGATGTAATAAAGGAAAACAACTGTGTACCCGAGAGTGAGATTTTGTTTAAAGTAACTGCTTTGCTTGCAGGCTAACAAAAGAAGTAACTCAAACATCTTTATTTTTTGTATTTTCTAACCAACCAGAACCGGGACCAGTATTCACATCTGCTGAGCGATCACTTTCTGCTGTACCAAGGTCATAATTCCTTCCGTGAGAAATATTTCAGTGGGGTAACAAAAAGAATTGCCAAGGAAGAAAAGTCTGGCCAGGAATGAAAAGTTAAGATTTTTGACAACGGAGAAAGAATAAGGATTTGATAGAAAAGACATCTGGATATGAATTTTCATGTATAATACAGAAAATGTACTGTTTTAAATAGCTTTATATAATAAAATAAATGGTACAAAGTCAGTACAATTCTTTTAACTTTAGTTTTGTTTTATAGACTTATTTTGTTGTATGTGGTCTTTTGAACTTTAATTTATATTTGTACTTTCAAGTATTATGGAAATTGAAAACAGTTATATTTTTGGTAATTTATAAAGGGAACTAATCATGTTGACTTTTTAAACAGATAATCTGCTGGATATGTTATAGGCAATTAATAGTGGTTGAGAATTTATTCATTAGGTAGACTTGTTTATTTTGTTTTTGATTGTAATTGTTTTACATTGTCATTGTCACTAATAAAGCTTACTGAGGATTTCTAAAATCATGTAGTATACAGAGGGGGATGTGATGATGAAAATGAACTTTTGTTTATAAATCCCAGGCAAATAAGTAGTAACAGTGATCATGGTGATAATGAGAAAGGCTAGGACCTGACAACCTAAAAAGATTCCAAACTCCTTGAGCCCTGTTCCCATCTGAAGTTCGTCTGTACCTTGGATTTGCTCCTGCATTCCTAAACCTTGACTGTCGGTCAAGTTAACTACCCACAATTTTTGGTTTAGAAAGTAACTGATAGTTAAAGCAGTAACAACAACACGAATCCTTGATGGTTCCCTAATGGTATTAAGTCTAATCAGAGCCCTTTGAAATAGAAGCTATATTTTTCTTGAAGGAGAAACTTTGCTGAGTCCACATTGTGTCCATCATGAAAATATCTTGTTTGGAAACCACTATACCCATTAATTCAGGATGCTAATAGCTTTCCTGCTTTCGGTGGCCAAAGTACCTCAGCAGGGCGGCAGTAAATGAATCCTTTCTCTCTAACCAGAGCCTATTTTTATTTATGCTGTTATTATTATTTTAGTGTTACTGCTGGCTTTTATGCACTCACAATTTGAATGTGCATAGCGTAAGACCTCCAGAAGACTGGTCCTGCCCAAGCAGAAAGGGAGCAGGCCGTCTGCTGCATTTTCCCTCTTTTTCTGCAGCTCTGAATTTCAGCAGATCTCAAACAGTTCAGTGATTACTTTGTTTGGGTTTCTGGATGTGATTTGTGGTACACTGGGGAAAATCTAAAAGTATTCAAGGATGATTTATTTTCAGTATTTCTGTTGTAAACCGTCTTATTTAAAATTTTTTGAGGTTGTATGGGGAGTGAGTTTGAAAGTTTGTAGCTGACTAAATTTGGAATATGAAATTTTAGCCTTGCCCCGTTTTTTGGTTTTCACAAAAATTAGTCCAAATTAGATCTGGAAAAGTTGCAATGTTAATTTTAATCACTTTGTTCTAAAAAAAAAATGACGCTACATTTTAAAAAAATTCAAATTATTTCTTATTACCTCTGGTGGAGGTCTTCTACTCTTTAATTGTTCATTGTTGTGAGATTGTAAGATTGGTACCCAAAAGTGAAAAAGAAAGCTGATTACTCTCAACCGATTTCGATTTTCGAGGTCACAAGCCCTCTTATTCTAGAAAGAACAACTTTATTTTCTGGCATCAGGATCTTAACTACTTCCTGTATAAGTTGGAGAAGATCATTTCCAGGATTGCTTGAGTTTTATGTATATTCCTCATGCACTTTACTAGCAAGAATATCACCTAGCATAATGCCTGCATGTTAGGTAGTCCTGTAGTATGAATTTACAGTATAATCTGTGAGTGAACCTTAGGTGGTCTGTGGACTGGCCTAGTTAATGTTCATAATATGACAGACTCTATAATTTTGCTTCTGGCATATATTAAAACATCTATAAAAGCCAGATGGTTACCTTGGTGGTGTTTCATCATAAGTAACCTCCTTCCCATCCATTCTGGTGGATTTTTTCTTTCTTTTTTTCTGTGATAGCTGGGAGGGAATAGTGGAGTGGGTGGTCTTTGGGGTATTTAGACAAAGTGGCCAGCAGATTAAAAAAAAAAGTTTCAAATCTCCTATAAATTTCTAGCCGCCTCCTGCCCAGGGTAACCCAGGTTTAGGCCTGTTCACCGCTAACTTCTTTATGACTAATTCTTTAAATACAGAGAGCAATAACACATTTTCAAGCTGTTTAAACTCTGGAAGGTAAGTCAGTGTTACAACTATTTCCTTATGGTGAAAATTCACTTAAAATTTGATATTGCTTACACATTTAAGGAGAATGATGATTACAACTAAAGAAATTTATTTCAAATTTGGTAGGGAAAGGTAGAGTATGAGTTAAAACGGACGGATTATAGTGAATGTGTTTATGTTATCAAATGAAAGAGGTGCTTTAAAAGTTTGGGACAGAAACAACTGTTTAGGTAATATGTTTTATTATACTCTTATAATCAGGGATGACTTTTTTTAACATCAGGAAATTAGATGTTAAGGTGGTTATTTAGATACCAGTATAAGCAAATCTAACACTTGAATCAAAGGCCTTAGTCATTTTGGATAAAAAGAAATAACCCATGCTGGAAGTATTATCAGGTATTGCTAATCCCAGGAGATATGTAGTAAGGCATAATGTTTATGTTTTAAAGAGTGAAGGTGACATGTTTTGGGGAAGATGATCTTTCTACCCCATTCTAATCTCCCTTGTAAAAGCACCATGGAACTAAGGTGATGTTAATAGTTCTAATAGGGGGGAAAATCCATTGTAGATAAAGCAGGGCATAAATTAATTAATTAATATGGAGCATAGGGATAGAAATGGGAGGTAATTGTGGCTAAGAACCTTGATGATCTTATTGTTGATTTTTCTGTTTGACCAAAGGGAGTAAATTATACCAGAATAAGGACTTTGACAACCTCTTACAAGAGCATGGTTTTTCTCCATTATGAAGTTATTTAGAAAACTAAACACATGTAAGGATCTTTTTTTCTTAGAAGAATTGTATTCATAGAATAAGCAAAACCTACTTTTATTTCCAACTTGCTCACTCCCATTTTTCTCAGATATTTATCAAGTAATGTGGTTTATAATCCAAACAAACAAAAAAAAAGTGCCTTAATCCAGAACATACACATGGACACAATAATACTAGACTGATGATGTTTGTACTTTACTAAAACATTGAGAGCGTCTGTAAAACAGAGTGGTTTGAGAACATAAGGTCTAGAGTGTAAAGAATTGTAATGGAATGATAAACATATCTGTGATTCTATCTAGCCATAGAATCATAGAGACAGCACATTCCTAGCAAAGCTCACTAAGGAACCTGACCCTCTTCCCTCAATAGAGGTCTGCCTCAGGATGTTCATATGTTTCACTGTGTGGGATAAGCAAGTTGACATTTAGGCATAACCAAGGCCAACCTGGAATTTGGCTCTTATCCCTTCCTTCATAAGCCATTGTAGACAGGCTTTTAGGGGGATGGAGGCTAAATTCTCATGGCAGTTTCCTAAGAAGCCTGGGTCACAGCAAAATAGGCTTAAGAGATGAATGTTAAGCCCACTTCACTTTATGTAACTGCTAGCCCTATTTCTTGGAATATTAGGATGTTCTTAGTATATTTTTGTTCTAGCATTTGAATGTTCTTTCTAAGGTAATTATATCACAGTGATGCCAAACTGAATCACCCAAAAAGGAATCTGCTTTGACCTCTATGACTTTAAAATCTCTCCTTTAATCAAGCCTTCCCATCTCTCTCCTGAGGGCTTATCAGAAGAACTCTATTTTGTCTAACATCCAGCAGTGGAGATTAGCTGGGCTTATGTGTGAAGTTAGTCAAATTTTAAAAATGGCTGAGGAGAAAATTAAAATTGGAAGTGAAATGGTACTTGTGTTGGGCTTCGATGGTCTGCCTAAGTATTGTATCTAATATGTTGTACATTTGTGAAGTGAATCAGGATGGTCAGAGCTGGTATTGGTGAACCTTTAAAAATCTGTAAAACCTCTTTAAACACTTGTAAGAATCTTTTTCTCTTAGAAGGATTGTATCCCTAGAGTAAGTGAAGTCTACTTTGATATTGGTTTGTATATAAATCATGGACTGGAGTATCTCACAAGTCTGAGTGCTTCCAGCACAAACAGCAAAACTATTTTTTTTTTTTTTTTGCATTTTTTCTACAGTTTTTACCTGTTGGGAGACAATTCTTCATAGATGTCTTGCATTTCTATATATCTTAGTAAGGAGGCAATGACTCCCTACATTCTAGACTCTTTTGGTAGATATGTGAGCACCCTTGAAAGATAGAGATATAGTGTCTCATCCTGCCTGCTCCCCCTTCTAAAAAACAGCAAACTACTGGGCTCTTGTCAAAACTGAATATCTGAGCCAGCCAACCTGATACTTCCAATGTGGAGTGAATCAAACAAACTCAACGAGATGAGAAGGGCCCAGCAAACCTCATTTGTCAGATGGAATTGCTATACTCAAGAATGCAGCTGGCATAGCCCCAGTTGCATCTTGGATTTAGATGAAAAGGTGGCAGCTATCCGTTTGGGGAAAATTTTATCCCCCATTCCACATTGCCTGAAATAAAAGGGAGTGGCTCAATGGTCTCCTCGATTCTTAAAGGTTACATTTATGGGGGGTTAAAAATACTTTTACGTTACAGTTAGGAGATTCCTCTAAATGCCTTCTGCCTCTTTCACTGATGGGTTGGCCGGACTGAAACCCGGGAGTTCAATGGGCTGCCATGGCCGCTCCCTTTCAGCGCCAGGTACTCAGACCCGAAAATGGATGTGGTTGACCTGGTCCATGGGCAAATCTCAAAGCTGGTATAGCTCCAGCCAGTACCCTCCTTGCTGAGACTTGTTATATTCTTACTGACTTTTAGGCTGTTGCTGATGACCTATGGTTTGTTCCATCACTTGGAAAACTACAGATTGGTTGACTAAAGATACCCTTCCTTGGGGGCTACCAACAGTGGAAACAGACTGGCTGCTGGCAGAGCTATCTGGGTCATTCTCTGATGAAGCCAGCTAAAAGAAAGCTGTTGTTTGGGCCAACACCACCCAGATTGCCATCATAGTGGCCTGGATCCATCGTTGTCCCACATGTGACTGCACACCCGCCCATATGTAGACAGGACACCAAGTAATGGACTGTGTTTC